CCTGGCACCACCTGTGTGTTAAGACACGAGCGACACTGATTTCCAGCAAAAATACGAATTTAAAGAAACAGTAAGGCAAATTAAGTTTATGTTTAACTAATTTGTAAATATTTATTATCATTTCAATGTTACTTAGTTTTATTTTGTGTTTATATTGAAACTTTTTAGATTAATTAAAGTGGTGGGTTAATTATTCTCAAAAGTTTATATTTGATGATATCTTTTTGCTGTAACTATGATGTAGAGACTGAATCTGCTTTGTCCACTCTTCTATCCTCCAGTGTTGTAATCGGGAACTTTGGTTTGTAACTTTCAAACTGTGATTGAGTTTGGTTGAAAATGATTTTTCCTCACTCCAGAAATAACAGTCCAATATGTTTGTTGGAAGGAATATGCTTATCTATACAGATAGCAGACAAGCACTACTCACCCTTAACAGACCACGAATTTACTCAAGATTAGTACTAGAATTTCACGAAGCTTTTGCGGAAGTATCCATTAACAATGTGGTCACCTTAAGATGGATCAAAGGTCACGCCACATCGAAAGGAAACCGTCTTGCTAATTCACTAGCCAAGAAAGCAGCCAACCAAATACGTTTTGGACCTGGCCCTTCTATTGACCTGACAAAATCGGTAGTGAACATTCCTTTGGGAAATTTAAGGAAAAAAGGGATCAAACAAGAAACTGCAGAGTTACCAGGGAGCTCTTAAGTTATCCTGACAACACTGCAGCAAACAAATACTTGACTATGACTAGATATAATTTGCGCCTAGTGACAGGCATTCTGACTGGTCATTGCCAAGTACGGAAGTATCTCCATATCATGGTGCTGTCAGAATCCGCACTCTGCAGAGGGTGAGAATAAGAAGATGGGACCATCGAGCATATCCTTTACGATTGCTCGACGCTCTCATTTATTAGAAGATTTATGTTTGGCGAGTATCGGCTAGCACCGGCCGATATAAGAGAAACATTTCTTGGCGACGTTGTCAACTACATTAAATCTGTAGGCTGGCTCACGAGCTAGGAGGTGCCTATCACATTAGGAGGATGCACAATGGGTCTAATGAGGCCTAAGGGCTGTGGGTGTAACTTACTCTCCATACGTTACAGTTACAGATACAGTTTGTTGCGTGTGATTACGTAGAGGATAATGTCCTGTCATTAGTCCCATAAGAAAGCATAAATGGTTTTTACTCCATTCACGGAGCTGAGCAGATACATATGCATTTTTAGAATAGTTTAATATAAATGCCTTAAAATGAGTTTAAACATGTGGTATCCATTCAGTTCATGAGTGTTTTTTACACTCTTTAATTTAAGATAATTCCTTTAGTAGTGCTTTTTGAAATGCCTAGCAATGTTTTCGGAACAAAGTAACTTTGTTCCGGGCACCGAGGCAGCAGAGGAAATTTATACAGTTCCAAATCAGCTTCGATTCAACTCAGTTAAGACTCAGAACTTGCTGGCAGGATGAAGATTAATAAGCTCTCTCGCTGCCTATTATATACTGATGAATTTCTGCTAGCACGATAGTGGTAAAATTTGCCAGGTTTATTTATATGCAAACTTTGACGTTTAAATATTTCCGATCCTACTCCTTTTTCAGTTTTGCAACCGTCAGTGTGTGGGGCTTGGTATACCTGAAAGAGTGTAATGTCCCCATTGCTTCATTCGTCTCTCTCTCTGGAATGAGAACTCTTTGACTTTTCAATATGCTATCGGGGAACTAGCGAGTTCGAGACCATACCAAGAACGTGGTGGTTATTAATTTTATACTCAACAATCCTGGTTTGTCCCACCACAGTTCTTGTATTTACTAAGCACTGTCAGTAATCTGTAGGAGATTATCCTGGCCTCCTTTCCAGCAAAATGCAAGGATGGGTCAGGTCCAATATAGTCTCCCTGTCGTTGTGGTACACATTGCGCCACAGTAATGATGATGCACGCAAGCCACTGAACTTCAAACAACTTTGCTGTGACACATATAAATGCAAATTAATGTTAATGTTATTTATTGTGTGTTTTTAAAATTGTTTTTTCATAAAAAGTTTGCAGAAAATAAATATCTCCTATAAAAAGTAGAGTATAGAGCAGCTATATTTAATTTTTTTTTCTTATAGGCAACATACATATTATGTCTGTTATGTTACATGGACCGCAAAATTTTTGAATGACGAGCTTTATGCATTTAATTCTGGGTAAGTTTGGTCAGGCTAAAACAAGGTTTCAGATAATATCTGTAATTCTGGCAATCACAGGTGCATGCCATAGGAATAGTGCAGCAGCTACAATGCGTTATTCGGAAAAATATCCCAATCGGAATACACCAGATAAACGATTATTTCTTTTCAGTGATCGTCGTTTACGGGAGACTAGTACTTTGCGGCCGCAACATACTGGTAATAGTGGTGATCCAAAAATGGATACAAACGATGAAGAGATTTCAAAATTAGTCGAAGAAAACCTGAAAGCAGTACAAGGGTAATAGCTGCTCAATTAGAAGTTGGTCACATGATGGTTTGGAGAAGATTAAAAGAACAGCAGTTTCATCCCTATAACTTAACAACCGTTTAAGAATTACTAGATGAATATTATCCTAAAAGAATGGGATTTTTCGACTGGTTCTTAACGAAACACAATCAAAAAATCAATTTCATTAATCATATTTTTTTACCAATGAAGCTACCTTCAATAGAAATGGCATTAGGAATTACCATAACGAACACAAATTGGCATGCAAAAAAGTTACTTATCACTAAAGGACTTTTAAAGTCAATGTTTGGGCAAGCATTGTAAATAATAATTTAATAGGATCAGTATTTACTCCAAATAATTTAAATGGTGCAAATTACTTGCAGTTCTTACAAAATTTTTCCAGAGTATTTGGAAGAGGTAAATTTAGGAATAAAGCAAAATATGTTGTTTTTAGAAAATGGAATTCCAGCGTATTTCAATAATAAAGTTGGAAAATAGTTTTTAGGTCTGTATCCTGGACTTAGGATTGGATTATGCACCTATTTCTTGGCCAGCTAGAAGTCCAGATCTTAACCCTATTGACTTTTGCTTTGGGGGTTTTATGAAAGAGAACGTGCATTTTGAACAACTGAGGCATCGAATCATTGAAAGTGCAAATTGACTTAATTTTTGTTACTCTCGATAAAAACTGGCTTTTCGAAAAAGTGCTAAGAGGCAAAAATGATGTATTAAACCTATACTAATTTAATTGTAATACATAGAAAAGTTGGGGGAGATTTATGGTTTCAAACCCCCCTAAAATTGTTATGGGCTGTACAGATTTAGTGGTTTTGTATGAAAAATATGCTCTTACGATAAGAAATCCATGTATGCATTTTCATTACAAAATTTTAAACATGAAATATTGGAAAAAATCGATTTTCATTTTATACTTTCCAAGGGCTGTAACTTTTTTCTGTGTACACATTTTCATTAAGGTAAGTTATTTTCAATCGAGTTATTTTTGAGCCCAGAATAAGTGGTTCCATTTATGATCTACCTTTTCGTTACACCCTGTATAAGACATGGCCGCACCATCTCATGAAGTAAGTTCATAACTCCATAAAAAAGTTTAAAACAACATTCTACTAAATTGATGGCAATAAATTTGTGTTCAATATAAAAACGAGGGAATGTTTTTTCCCGGAAAACATGTCAAATATTTTTTCTTAAATAAAGAACTATAAAACACATGTTGGAATAAGACTCGGAATAAGATAAAAAGGAAGTTCATATTGTTTAATATTTTGATTTTTCAGTCCACGGTCACGTATACAAATATGAATAAAGCGTCAATTTCTTTAGGTGTAAACTTAGTCTAACTGACCTGACTGACACCGATGCTTCTAGTCTATCTGTCATTCTAGGATGTTGGCCGTACATGCACATAACATGCACCACAGTTATGTTATGTCTAAATTATGCTCGTATTACTAATTGCTGAGCAGATTTACCTATGCAAAACCGTACTCTTCTACTTCTTATATTTACTGCCTACTGCCTCCAGTCCCTGATTTGATGATAGAGGAAGCAATTAAAGATAATTAAGCACTTTGAGTTGGCTTCAACCCAGAACTAGTTTGATTGAATATCGCGAAGCAATTTTACGGATTACGATCAAAAAGAATGTCAATCAGTAGATAAAACTTTAATAACATTAACGTTATCTGCTATCGCTTCTACCTACGGGTAGGGTAAAAAAAACGCAGAAGTTATCCTGGTCTATTTATAGAATTGTTGTTGGTTCTTTATAGCGACAATTTTTATACTTATACCGTTTGCAAACATTATTAATTTTGTATATTTATTAGGGCGTTTCATTTTGTAAGTAAAAAAATTAAATGTAAAATTTTTGCAGATTTTGCTTGTGTAATTGATGTAAAAGATATGTATGCAAAATTTCAAGAAGATTGGACAATATTTAGAGGTTGCACACTTTGACCAGTTTTGCAAAAATATGCAAAAAATACGACTTTTCAATGTTAATTACTTTTTTTGTTAAAACTATAAATCTCAAACTTAAAACTACACATTATGATTATTAGGTAATATTATTAAGATTATTAGGTAATAGATAGGATAAACTTTGTATTACATTATTCAACTTTGAACGATGCAACCCCTTGTTTAGTTCGCTTGGTGCCGACTTTTCTATGTTTTTGTTGTTCATCTCTGACTGATTCGTTAAATTTCTTTATTAGAGCAATTCCTGTTTCTGCGGTATCATTTACTACCTTAAGAGCATCCACTTGATTTCTTAGAAAATCACTGCAATAGTCTGTAACGTTATGGGTCCCAAACAATTCAAAGAACATTTTTGTTTTACTAGTGATGAAATGGCTCAGGTATTTTCCTTCAAAAACTAAGTTTTTACCGTCTAATCGTTTTATTTTCTTTTAATTTGGAGGTTTGGTTTCTAAATGTTTATTCATATGTTTCTTTTCAATCTGACTTAATACGTTCATCCAAAAAAGCCAGTCCTACGTTTGTTTCTGACAAATACCACAAGTGTCTCTTAGCAACAGTAAGAACACTTTTTTGACGTCTATATCTGGGTAAATATTCAGAAGCTGCAGCATAGACAAATCATTTTTTGGAGCCCATCGACTTACAATTGCTTCGTGCCAAAAGCGAACATATATGAGGCTGACAAAATGTGCAATCCTTTTCATTCGTTTTAATTCTCGTTCAGACATATCCAACTGTTTAGTGAAGAGAACAATTTTAAGTGTATAATTCGCTTTTGCCATCCACCTTGCTTGGTGCAGAGCTCCTGGTATCCTGAAACTGAATTCGTCTTGAGACCAACCTCCTAGGTACAAAAGTGATAGTTGTAATAACTCTTTGTAGTTTTCCCTTGGATGACTTCTGTCTTTTAGGACATTTTGTAAGTAGTTAATCATTTTTACTCGCTGTTCTTTTATAAAGCCTTGAACGGGAAGTCCCTCATCCAGCATTGTCGTATATGATTTTTTATCAAGTGAAGCCCACATATTTTGGAACTTTCGAAAGATCTGGATGTCAAGACCACTTGATAGATGTTACAACACTCCTCAAACACTCCTTTTAATATTAGTTTATGACGGCAAGCCAACCACAACAATGTTCGTCCTGATTCTCTTTCAATTCTGGTACATGCCCCTTGGATCAGTCCTGTATTAGACGATGTAGTATCAAAAGACATACCGATGATATTGTCACTTAGCCCAAATCGGTGTACTTCCCGAATAACTACTTCAGCCATCTCCTCACCGGTGCCTTTTTGGGCAACAGGTACTCCAAGCAAATGCTCAAAATCTTTGCCAGTCATTAGAACTCCAATTATATCTTCCAAAGTTTTGACATTCCCATGGGCAACTGAAGGTAACAATTTAATATCCCATCGCAAGATCAAAGGAGGAGGATTTTCAAAAAGCATCTCCTCGATTTTCCTTGCCATTTTTCTTCTATTGACCACCCGCTCGGTAAATGGTGGATGGAGATACAAAAATTTTTGAAACATCGTGACCAAGGCTCTTTGCAGTTGTTATAAAAGATGTACTTGCTTGCCTAATAGAGAGTTGCTCTCGATCCCAAGTAGATGTGAGTATTTGATCCAAAGGTTTTAATCTAGGACTTGAACTAAATTTTTGCATTGCTGGATACAAAAATTCGTCCTCTTCGTCACTGGGTGCGGATGATGATGAAGATGAGTCTTCCAGTATTACTGTCTTATTCATTTGAGCTATAGCTCTATAATGTTTATTCTTATATGAATCATTTGTCTTCTTTTGTACATTTAGTTCTTATTTTGGAGACGAAAACGTTGTCTACTCCAGTCATTGATGAACTCATTCGGTCTTCTCTTTGTGATCTAAGAAATGTTTTATCTTCTTCCGATAAGCTTGTCATTTTCATCATATTTTGCTGGGAAATGTCAAATAACTCAACAAGGTCACCTTTCCAAATATGCCGTTTCATGTTAGCTTTATCTGTGTTTCTAGATTTCTCTTTACCTAGATTTTGGAATTCTTTGTATAGCTTCTGTATACCAGCGCGTAGTCTTCTCTGTCTTAACAAGGATACCTGCTTTCCTCCACACTTACTGTAGTTTAGTATTGGTAGATTTAGCAGCTTTCGAAAGTGTTTCTTTCATATCCTTATGATGGTAAATAAAAACTAATAGTAGTTGTTCCTTTGAAGGGAGCCGTGCTCCTAAAAACTCACCACTAGGCACCTTTTCTAGCAACCAAATTCCTCTTTTGGTTCCCATTTTAAAGCTCAATTACCTGCAAAAGATGAAAGAAATACATGTAAAGATCAAAGATGTGTGTATTCTTGAAATTTAGCATATATTTTTTTTTTATCACTTGGTCGCAGGGCGTAAGCAAAGTCGCATGAAAATAACATCTTTGGAAAAATGAAACACCCTAATATTTATCCGTGAAAAAGTTCTTAGTTACGGTAAATGTTATTTGCAATATAGAGAAATTTTGTACGTATTTGGTGCCTCTGGTCTTAAATAGAATATACATTTACCCTTCTATAATAACAAGTAACAACGTTTAAAATTCTTATTTAAAATAATGTAATCGAGGTGTAAACCACTCCCAAAATACTGGTACGTTTTCACTCAAAATCATTATTGTAAAGCATAGTCAAAGAGGTTAGAAAAGGTAGAGGTAACATTTGTCGCTGTACGAATTTTGTCAAAACCGAAAAACTGGGTGGAAAGAGTAGGAAGATATTCTGGGCTGGTCTTAAATATTTGTATTGTAGTACCTAAAGGTAACTAAAAGATGAAAAATTATGAGACGTTTGTTTGACTTCATTTGTTAGCACGATTCATTTATGATGAGGACAATAACACTATCAATATATAGCTAGTAGCTAAGGGCCTATTTCACCGTTGTGTTAAACGAAGTTTAAATTACTAAACAACGATTAAAATGACATTGTTTAATGTAAAATAGTCATTTTAATCTACGTTTAGTATTTTAAACTTCGTTTAACACAACGGTGGAATCGGCCCTAAGTAAAAGTTTATAAAATTTTTCTAACAAAATAGCTATTTGTGTTTTAAGAGCAGAAAGTAACACTTTGGCTGTTGAGACAAAAAAATTTCGAAACTTTCTGCTCGAATTACACACAAAATGTTTTCTACGATCACACCAAAATAATATAAATAATTAAATTTTATTAGAAATAGGTTACCTTTTCTTTCGTTATAATATTGTAAGTTTATTTGACATAAGCCTACTCTTCGAAGAGAAAAAAATGTTTTATTATTTATATGTCGATAATTACTTATGATTTAATCATTTAATTATTTACGGAAAATACTGTTGGATAATTTGAAATATTGGGAAGTCAATTAAAATATTTTAAATTAGCCTACATTTTGTTTTAAAATATCGATTAGCTTCCTTTTATTTGATTCAAATGAAAACAGACAAGTGTGCGCCAATAATGTGAAATTATGACAATTCGCGGAAAACGTCAACTTTCTGGTTAGATTTGAATGTGCAAAAGCCTACTTTGGATAGTGATGGTAGAAAAATAACATATTATCTTACCTCACAAAATGTTGCATTATAATAACATTGAAATTAATGTTATTAATACACATTATTTTTATTATCAATTGGTTTTACAAATTATTAAGCAAAATGTTAATAATTACGTTAAAATAAAATCATACAGTTTAAGACTGATTCTTAAGGCTCTTCTTCACATTGGCCATTGCGCTGGCAAATATTATTGGCAATATTCATGAACAGCACGTAGGTAACTTTTTGTTCCTTGCTATTGAAAATATGTTTATATAAAGGGTGATTCATACCTAAGTGGAGAAGCAAACAAACATTTTTTAAATTAATTTTGTAACACCTTTTAAGTTCATAATTATTCACTTTAGACCCCAAATAAGATAGTTGGTTGAACTAAGCTCATCAAAAGCAATAAAAAAGTTAAATAATTTAGAATCTAAAAATTGTTATTTGTTTAACAAGATAGACAAGTAACAGATATTTTGCCGCGGCTAGCATTACATTGCAAAGGCGAAGCCGATGTAAGGAAACTATCCAAAGCAGTAAATCTGTTTATCTGCCGTGTGAAACATAACTTTTTCTCCGAATATACATATACATTGTGTTTAAAAAAATGGAATTAAAATTAAAACCTCTTTTAAGTATAACCGATACAACTCACGCATTTTTAATATTTATTCTAACCGTTGTTTTTATAACTATATATAGTCTGTTGCAATTTATAGTAGAAAATCGTCTTGCTTTAAACATGAAGGAAGGTTGTGTATTAGCTGGAACAGGGACGGTGCTCCCAAATGGACTTTAAAAATTAATGTTTTCTGTTTGGGGAACAAACATGATAATATTAATATTTCGTAAGAATGTTTGTAAGATTTTTTAGTTTTTCTGAAGACCCTAACCTTAATATAAAAAACCTTTCTCGCAAGATTCGTGCCAGAAATCCCAGAGACCAATTTTACAGCGAAAGTAACGCGTAAAGTAAAGATACATAAAATTAGTCAATTTATATTTTTTAATGTTTTTCTGATCCGAATCTTAACAAACATCTTTTGTATTAAACATTTTGTTGTAGCTGTTATAATAAATGCATTACAGAGAAAATAAGCACTCCCCTCTTCCTAATGAGAGTCAGGCTATGGGTGACGTCATGCGAATGGCAGACGAAAACTAAACAGGGAAGCATCTGGCCCTGGGTAGTATTGGTGTGGAATTCACCTAATCACTTTAGTTTAGCTTCAAAGTTTATGCGATTTGGTCGAGGTTTCGGTACTATATAGTTAAAATAAGTAGTGAAAATAAGTGAGGTAGTTAATGTTCAACAGTATTCTTCCAAAATAAATTTGGACAAACAGAAAACAGGAAAACAGAAGCGTTATCACCTTTCTAGTGATGCCAAGGAAATAGTTCTAGACGTTTATTCTAGTGAGTAATTATAAAAATTATTCCCATAATATGAATCTAGGAAAAACAGCCCTGAAAAAAAAAACGCTGGAGAAAAAACATTTTGTGCATGTAACATTATTAGACGGAGAGCTGGCGACACAAAGACTCGATAAAGTCAAAATTCTGTTGTTTACAGTTTTGATTGATACCAACATAGCGAGAGGCGGGCAGTTAGAAGTCACCCTGGAAGTATAAAGTAAGGGTAGGGGGTTAAACACGAATTTTTTTCGCAAAATAAGTGATAAGGTACAGCACTGAAAATTTGCAGTATTATCGGAGATAGTATAAGAAAGTAGGGAAAAAATTGTCAGAAGCCTAGGTGAAAGAAAAAAGTCGTCAGAAGGCGCTTATGTTGCAAAAAGATTTAGCGTAAGAGCGAACCAAAGTCTACTATTCAATATATCTATGTCAAAATTAAACAATAATTGGTTATGATTAAAAACTGTAATAAAAAAGTGAAGATTTCCACAATTTGATTTTCTGAATTAGTTTTAGTACAAATTAAACGAATTTTGACTAAAACTGCGTTTTAGGTAGTATTTTTTTTAATAATTTGATAAAATAAATGTCCTATTTTTTATTTTTAATCGCATGTGTCCTGAAAATTAAATTTTAAACAACTTTTGTACTTTAACATTTTTTGATTTATTTTAATTTAAAGTCGTTTTTACAATAAAAATTGTGTTGTTTCATTTTTCGTAAAGACCAAGCCAAGGAGAATGCGAAAATTTTGTAATAGTAAAGTACATGTCATGATATTTACTATTACCAAAAGAGACTTTTTTTACAAAAATACCCCAGTCAACTGTATATAAAATTTTACAGGAAGGGGCACCACCTAGAAAGGTGCGACAAGATTCTGGTTCATTTCGTTCCATTCCACAGTTTCTTTTAAAACCGATTAGGGAAACAATTTATGAAATGTTCTCTGTTAATAATTTTCCTACTTTGAACACGTTATTTTTACGTCTAAAACAAAAAACGTTAAGAGAAGATTGCCATTATGGAGATTTTTAAAATCCAACGGCTTTAAATTTAAAACCATTAATTAAAGACAAACAATTAAACAATTATAGAATCCAGCCGTTTAGTTAAATGGAGAATAGAATATCTCGATTTAATTACAAAATATCGACGAGAGGACAGACACATTTATTTTTTAGATGAAACTTGGTTCGACACTCACGACATCATAAAAAAATGTTGGACTGATGGAAGAATAAAATGTAATGTAGACCCTCCTCCATCTCGAGGAAAAAAATATTCATTGTACATTGTGGTGGAGAATCAGGTTGGGTAGAAGGAGCTCTCTTGCTGTCAGCACATGATGTACGGGATACTAATTTGGACTACCACCAGGACATAGAAAGTACTCTTTTTAAAAATGGTTTAAAGTACATTACTACCAAAAGTAAATGAAAATAGCGTTATAGTTTTAGATAATGCCTTGTACCGTTCTCGGTTGGTACGAAAAAACCAAATAGCAATTATACGAAATCAGTGATTCAGGACGTTCTGATGATATATCTTT